AACAACATAGGGTATTCGGAGAATTGTCCGAATATTGAATCGAAGTGAATTTTAGTATTCTTTGATGTGATTTGTAATGATTTGTATACGTTTTCATGGTTTGTTTGTTGAAAGAAGAAAAACAGACCAAGATTAGGAGGAAAATGGACCAAGATCAAGAAAAGAGAATCTCCATCCACACCGCCTTATTTGTTGCGGATAAGAAAGAAAATTATAGTTGCCCCTCAGACTTATCCTCTATGTCCATCATTGGGGGGGGGGGGNNGGGGGGTATTTATATAGTTTTTACCGACCCCGATATTATTACATGCGGTATTATTATTGGACCTTAACAATAAGATAAAATATAATAAGTGATTTAATATATATCCACATGATTTAATATATATCCACATGAAATATCTTAATAGGCGAGGCCAAAATTAGGTAACAAGAGTAGGCCCCCGACTTTAGAATACGTTCTGAATAAAACTGTTCTGAAGTCGCATGTAAAATCAATTTTGCCGTTTTTTGCTCTATATCATGAGTTTAAGGCTTTTTATGCAGTGATAGATGACATATGGACGTTGTCCGGGTGCGCTGGAACCCGTGGTCGCTTTATCAATCGTGTTCAGGCTTCGGCCTGATGTGTTGACGTATTAATGCTAATCGTGTTTTTGTTCTGAGAATGAAGTCGACTGCATGGATAGTTAACTTTTTGAGATTGCTATATAAATGGAGGCCTGGATGGTCTAGTCGGGTAATTTGGTACCCAGTTTTCGTGTTTTGCGCGTAATATGACGCATTTTAATAGATTCGCGTCCGTAATGTTGGTAATGATATGGCTTTGTGTGAGTACTCGGGCCACATGATATTGTTATAGGATTCGCGATTTTGATGTCGTACTGAGACGACGCGATTTTTTATTTTGTGCTTGATTTTCTGAGTAGTCTAGACCTGGTCGGATAATTCGATATTCGGTCTTCGGTCTTAAAATATTTTTAAGGAATATGATCGTCCCAGCTGGTAAGTCTTATAGTACTCCTCAACAACGTGGGTCTTTAAGGAATATAGGAACGGATATCAGCCTTACCAAGTTGAAGAACTTGGTGTAAGTAAAGTCTCTACCCTACCGAGCTGAAGAAATCAGTGTAGAGATTTTTTTTTATATATATTTTGCCAGCCGGGAAGGGTTTTATTGACTTTGACTGACCAGTGCGGGCCCAAACATATAAAAGTGTTTGGTGTATTGTAGTTTTTTTATCGGTCAGGTATTATGTTCCTGATCTTTAATGTGATTTATAGGGCATTAGCCTTGACAAACCAACTTAAGGGTTTGGAAAAGAAGTGTTTATGTCAAGATGTATGTATGACGCGCGTATATGATGAATGTATGTATGAATGTATGTATGAATGCACGAATATATAATGAGCACGTGCGGGAAATAATTACTGTACGATAAATGATGTTACCTCGATGTTTGGTCGAGTCTGACTTTTTTGCCGGTAGGTGCTGTGCCTTGCCGGAATATTGATCGTACCAAATCAACTTCAGGATTTGGCGAAAGAACATTATTGATGTCGGTTATTATTGTAAGCCTGCTAAATCAACTTCAGAATTTAGCCACGAGGGGCATCAGCCTCCCCAAGCCATCTTCAGGGCTTGAAAGTATCCGGCTGTGTTGCGTTTGGCCAGGCCATACCAACTTCAGGGTACGGACACGTTTAGCCTTAGCAACGAGGACCGATTTATCGAGGGTCCATTAATTGTGTTTCCCCATGGTAGGTTCTGTGCCTTGCCTCTTGCGGGGAAGACACACATTTTTAATGCACCGAACTATTTTTCGAGATTCGGCTATTTTCCTAATGGCTGGAGCAGAGGCTCAACAATGAAGAAATATAAAGAGGTTAGCTCAGTCGGAGTCGAGGCTCAACGGCGAGCGGATATAAAGAGACGTCGGCTCAGCCGGAGTCGAGGCTCAGCGGCGAGCGGATATAGAGACGTCGGAGATAAATGACCGGTGGCGGCATAAAAGTTTTCGTCCCCAGCGTTGATGAATGTAGTCAGCCCCAGCATAAGTAAGTGAAGTCTGGGACGATTAAGTGATAAATCAACTCATAGTGAATAAGCTCGGCCCCAGTTGTCGTTGGTTCGAACAAGTGAACTTGGCCTCAGCAATGATAAATAAATATGGCCTCGGTATAGATAATCGGACTCCGCCCCGTCAATAAATGAATCCGAAGACTAGCGAATGACAACTCGGGATAGTGTGTACGAACTCGGCCCCGGCTAACGTTGGCATGAATAAATGAATTCGACCCCACTCTTCTTTCTCATTTTTTTTAAAAAAGTGTTAAGGCCCGATAAATGGAAGAGAAAACAAAGTAATCGGGGTATTTTCGCTTTGGGCCTAAAGACCCAAGAGTACAAGCAAAGAAGTTTCTTGTAATTATCGTCCGCCTTTTATACTGAAGATTGAACGAGATCGAGGCTGAAATACATATTCATCTAATCTGAAAGATCGGTGTTGTTAAACGATTTTGTAACAACATAAAATGTACACCCCTATTCTGTAAATGAGGGGTATAAGAAACATATGAATTTGCAGTAATTATTTGTATATCTTGAATGAAAGAAATCAAAGAAAGAAACCCAAGAACTTTTTTGTGTGAAAAGAATGATGATGGAATTATGATCATGAATCTTCAGAACCCTCTAGGGCCGTCCCTTTGTTTGCTGATAAGGGAAAGAATAAAAAGTCCTGATCTCTATCTCTTTAGCCCCTATTTATATTTGGACTAATATCGGTCGGTATGTCTAATGGGCTTTTACGATAAAACATGACCGCGCAGGGCCCAATAATAAATAAATATGACCGTGCATGACCCAATAATAAATAAATATGACCGCGCAGGGCCCAATAATAAATAAATGTGACCGCGCAGGGCCCAATAATAAATAAATGTGTTGACTAACAAATTGACTGGTACTCCGACTGGTATTTGTCTTGTCAACAATTAACGTGTTTGTCTAAGTGGCTTCTCTGAGTTGGTTTTTGAATGTGAACCGTCTTCTGGGAACTCGATCAATATAATTCAGATAAAAGAACCTGCTAAACTGTTGTTCAATATATATATATCCACATGTATTTATTTAATAGGCGAGGCCAAAATTAGGTAACAACAGTAGGCCCCCGACTTTAGAATATGTTCTGAATAGAACTGTTCTAAAGTCGCATGTATAGTCAATTTTGGCTGACTTATGCTTTATAATATGTCTGAATGCTGTGACGTATGGATGTCGTCCGGGTACTTTGGGACCCGTGGTTACTTTATTGATCATGTCCAGGCTTCGGCCTGACGTATTAATGTTAATGGAGTTGACTGCGTGGATAGTCAACTTTTTACAATTGCTATATGAATGGAGGCCTGGATGGCCTAGTCGGGTAATTTGGTACCCAGTTATCATGTTTGATTTTTATTGAATTATTGCACGATCGGGTAGTGCTCCCGATATTTCATGTGATTTTAAGAAAGGCGTTAGCCTCGCCAAACCAACTTCAGGGTTTGG